AACAAAAGTAGACTGAGGAGGCTATACTAAACTGCACCCCAAACAAGTAAATACAAACCAGTGCTCAAAATGTAAAGAGAACCCAGGATACAAAAGTAACCAGAACTAAAGACTAAAAGTCCAAATAATAATCTAAAATACAAAACTCAAAGTACCATCAACTTTACAAAGCGAAATGTTGCCATGTTTGTATGTCTGAATAAGTTGAACAATTTCACGATATATGAAGATGCATCTAAAATGCATGCTAGCTGCAGGGTGACTCAGGTGTCAGTGTTTCAAACTCAAACCAAATAAAACTGTATTAAACAGCTTCACCACTAGAGGGTAGAATAAATCAATACAGCCTCAAAGCTTTGACCACACAATGTGATGAGCTCCATAGTCAGAGGAGCACAGGGTTTGCTTTAGACAGTTTTTCATTACTAATGAGAAAAACTAAATAGTGGAGCAGTGTTGGTTACATGTGTGGGCAGCAAAAAGAAAACACACATTCATACTCCGATGAATGCATCGGAGAGCAATTTCGGGTTAGTATCTTGCCCAAGGATATTTGGCATGCAGACTAGGGGAAGCCGGGAATTGAACCACCAACCTTCCGATCAGTAGATGACCTGCTCTACCACCTGAGCTACAGCCACTCATTATCTAACTCTGCACCAGATGTCTGCTGGGAAGAGTGACTATGTTTCTTTAACATGCCCCATGCATGTGTTTTTATAATATACAAACACAGTATATGTATATATATATAAAATATATATATATCTACAATGTACACCTTGCAGATAAAATCAGAAATACATTATCACTGCCTAAGAGGACTTTGTGGTGGCAAAGTTGAATGAAGTTAATTTTTATCTTACATGTAATCACAGTAATACAAAGAAATGTTCCAACCTCTGAGTAAATAAAGGTCATTTTTATTACGTGTCAGACTGGTTAAATTGTTTATTTATTTCATTTACCTGCTGTTATAATATGGGAAATCCTTTTAAAAAAAAGCTGCTGTAAAGGCAGTTGCAAAAAACCATAATCAACCCAACCCTGCCATAAGTAGCCAGGTTACGGGGACGTCTCTGAAACAGCTGACCTTTCCGCGGTATTATTCAAGATTTTAAATCATCTATAATGAGAGACAAAGGTAAGACAAAAGTATTTTTGCTTGAATCCCAATGTTTCAGTAGCTTGTAGAACAATCTTTTGCAGCAATAACTTCAAGTAATCATTTTTATATGTTGTTTTACACCTGGATGTGAAAGAAGGTGTACTTTCTTTTTCACCTAACTGCATGAAAATATATGCATATATATTTATTTGTAGTTGAGAGATTGTATCCCCTGAAAACAAGTTCAATCACAAACAAGTTCAATATCTGCAAGAGTTCATCTGTGCAATGATTTGTACCTTGTACTTTTTTATGTCTATATGGTGAGTAAATCTTGGTTGCATGTTAATGTGTTACATTTTTATTACACTTATTCTTTCAGGTCAATTTTGTTCCTGCAGTAAGTTAAACTGAAAACCTCCCTCACCTTTCTCCTATTCCCACTGTACAAGTTCCAAGAATTTGAACTGCATGACTCGTCAGGCACCTTTTGAAAAAGAAACACATACAGCGCAGTCACTGACACTGAGAGGAGAAATGGCGCAGAAAGGAGTTCAGCTGGACCGAGAAACCTTCTCTTGTTCGATCTGTTTGGATCTACTGAAGGATCCGGTGACTCTTCCCTGTGGACACAGCTACTGCATGAACTGTATTAAAAGCTTCTGGGATGAAGAGGAAAAGAAGAAAATCTACAGCTGCCCTCAGTGCAGACAGACTTTCACACCTGACAGACCTGTTCTGGAAAAAAACAGCATGTTATCAGTTTTAGTGGAGAAATTCAAGAAGACTGGACTCCAAGCTGCTCCTGCTGATCACTGCTATGCTGGACCTGAAGATGTGGCCTGTGATGTCTGCACTGGAAGGAAAATGAAAGCAGTGAAGTTCTGTTTGGTCTGTCTGGCATCTTAGTTGTTGTCACAATCTAATGACCAAGATTTGTCATTATGTCCAAATCTACATTCATTACCCTCTCCTTTTCTGCTGATATTCTTGTATGCGACTGCTACATCAACTCCTCCCCCTCTCCACTCCACCTCCCAGTAACAACGTCCAGTCAGACTCTCTCTACTCAGGACCTGACAACACCAAGTGAATCTGTCTGGATGATCAGAATAAGACTGTTGTTGATTCATTAATGTTACTTTTCTGTTCCCCTCTGATAATAACAGCTGTTTGTTTGCTGTGTTTGGATCCAGTGTGATTTCACATGAATATTTTAAGAATCCAGCTCTGGTCTTTGGCTCTGGTGGATCTGACAGTAAAACATCCACTTCAGTGACTGTCAGTGAGATGTTTGTCCATTCCTCTCTCAGAATGTCCTGTAGTTTATCTCTGACCTCTGACACAGCTGCTGTCACATCCTCAAAGTAGCTCAGAGGACGGATATTGATGCTGGATGAGTCTGTAGACTCACTGAGTGCTGACAGTGAGGGGTAGTTGTGTAGAAACTGGATGTGATCCTCTGTGTGTGAGAGCTGCTTCAGCTCAGCATCTTTCCTCTTCAGCTCAGTGATCTCCTGCTCCAGCTTCTCCTCAAGCTCTTTGACTCGACTCACTTCAGTTTCCTGCTGGGATCTGATCTGCTGCTTCACATCAGAGCTTCTTTTCTGGATGAGATGGATCAGCTCAGTGAAGATCTTCTCACTGTGCTCCACTGTTTGATCAGCAGACTGATTGATGGCCTCCACCTCCTGTTGAAGCAGCTTCACATCTTTCTCTCTGTCCTGGATTCTCTGCTGGATGTTTTGTCGACTCACCTCCAGCTCTCTCTGCCTCTCAGTCCTTTCTGCTGCAGCAGGATCTTCTCAAAACGCTCCGCTCTGCTCCCCACTGTTTGTTAGGAAAACTCCAGCTCAATGTCTACATAGCGCATTTTAAAACTGACTGAGATTGGTATGGCCTCCACCTCTGTGTTGAAGCAGCTTAGCACATGGCACCTGTTTCTCGCCCTACAGGATCTGTCCTGGGGGTTGAGGTATGACTCACTCTAAAGGACTGCTCGCACTTGTTCTTGTGACAAAACGTGTGTCGAATTAATACTCATCCGCTCCGATCCTCACCGCAATGGCCCCTCTCTCTGCCTATACTTCTAAGTGCTGCTTTTTCTGCATGCAGAGTGTTGCAACAGTAATGTGGATTGTTCTATGGTTGTGTGATTAGATTCAGAATAGGCCTATCTTAAGTGTTTCACTGTCTTGACCACATAGAGAAACGACGAGTGAGAGAAAAGCACCAGAATGTGAGAAGCAAAATCCCTTTATGTTCATCCACAGAGCAGAGATAACAGATACTCTGCTGATCAGTACGGCAGAACATCTTCATCACCTCATCATGACGAGAGCAGATGTTCTCCTGGAGCTTCTTGGAGGGCTCCACCAGCTTGTGTTTGTCAAATGCAGGACATTCATAATGAGCTTAATGAGGTTCTGACAGAGGATGTCTCACAGAAGTAAAGGACTTGACCACC